TGAACCTGAACCTCATACCCGACACGGGATAAACCCCAGGTAAAGCTGACAGGTGCTCCGAGAGTGCAGAGGAAGTTTTTCATGATGTTTGTAAAATTTTATTTCCAAACCAGATGCCATAAAAAAACAACTGGATTTGGTTACAGTTATCATTTTTAAATCTTCATAGCCAAACTCAGAAAATATTGGAAATTGAGAAACGATGTGCAATTCATTACAAAGGAGATTGGGGAAAAAAAAGGACAAATCTTTTTTTTTTGGTCCTGGGGATTGAACCCAGGGCCTGTGCATGCAAGGCAAGCACTCTACCCACTAAGCTATAGCCCCAGACCACAAATCAATTTCTCAGAATTCAATAACTCAGTAAGAAATGTGGTCAAGTGACAGTGTCAAGTGGCGGATAAAGAAATGCCCGTGCCCCTTGAACAAATTAAAACACACTCAACTCCCCCTTTTCAGTGAAGTAAATTCGAGCAACGATTCATCATTTGAAAGTGAAGGAGATGCTGTTCTCAGTCACCCCTCCCTGGTGTTGGAAGCCGCCTGCCTCCAGTTCCAGAATGTTCCAACACCCAGAAGGAGACCCCATGCCACTCACAGCCATCCTCCGGTCCCTCCCCAGACCTCGGCAACCGCCCGTCTCCCTGCATTTACTTGTTCCGGATATGATCTGTGTGAGCAGAAGCACGTGAGACGCAGCCTGGGGACGGCTCTCTCACCCGGTGTCAGTCCCACCTGTGGCAGCCGGCCGGTGTCAGGCATCATTCCTTCTGACAGCGGGACGCGCAGATGGCACGGGGTTCTGTCCGCCTTTGGTGGGCCGGGCGCCCTTGGACTTGCTCTCAGTGCTCCGGGGGGTGTCTGGGGTGGGGACGCTGGGCCTTAGGTCAATCCACGTTTCACTTTCTGACCCCCTTTCTGCCTGTGCCCTGTCCTTGTTCCCTCCCCTTCCTGCTGTGCTGTGAAGTGGCTCCACTCAGGGAGCCCTGAGCTCCCTCCCCAGCCCTTTCTCACTTTTATTTTGAGACAGGGTCTCGTGAACCTGCTGAGGCTAGTCTTGAACTTGCCCTCCTCTGCCTTGGCCTCCTGAGTCACGGGGATCACAGGTGTGTGCCACCAGACCTGGCTCCATCTTGAAATTAATTTTTTTCAATTTATTTCCCGGTGGTAAGACAGACCTGGTAAGTTACCATCTTGATCATGTTGAAGTGCACAGTTGGTGACCTTACATACCGTCCATCTCCAGGGCTCTCTTCATCTTCCAAAACTGGAACCCCCATGAACCAGCAGCCCCTCCTTCCTCCTCCCCAGCCCCTGGCTGTCCATTCCACTTCCTGTCTGCTCCAGAGACTCCACAGATGAGGGAAAACTCACACTTGTCCTTTGTGCCTGCTGGCCATGGCAGGTGTCGGGCTGAATCATATCCTGTTGTATGGATATCTTGGCCATCTACTCACCTGTCAATGGGCCTTGGGCCGCTCTCACCGTTTAGCTATTGTGAAAAAGCCCTGCTAAGAACGTGGGCATAGAAACATCTCTTTGAGACCCTGCTTTCACAGGTCTTTTGAGGATTTGTTTGTTCTGCTATAACAAAATGCCTGAGGCTGAGTGAATCAGAATGAACAGAAGTTTATTTCTTACAGTTCTGGAGACCAGGAAGTCCAAGACAAGTCGCTGGCACTGATGTCCGGCCAGAGCTGCTTCCTGCTTCCAGGGTGGCGCCTCCTTGCTGTGTCCTCACGTGGTGGAGTGTGGGAGGGCCACAGAACGCGACCTTCACCTGGAGCCCTTTCTTGAGGGGGCTAATCTCACTCACGAGGGCTGGAGCCTCACGGCTCTGTCACCCCCCGAAGCCCACACCTCTCAGTACTGCGGCACCGGTCTTGGAGGGGTGCACAGTGTGCGAGCGGGAGTGGGGGCCTGGGTCACACTGAGACCCCATTTGGCTCCTCTGAGCAGCAAACTCCACGGCGCCATCCCTTGGGCCGCCCTGCAGCGCAGGCCTCCGGTCTCTCGTGTCCTCACCAAGCAGCCCTGCTGTTTCCTACTGTGTTCCTTCCCCAGCCGCCCTCTTCTGGCCTCCTGCGGCCTCTCCTTGTCTTCTGATTGGGTTTCCCTGAGAGTTACAGGTGGTTTTCCACCAAGGCCCTGCGCTTTCTCTTGCCCTGGTCCCGGGCAGCCCTGTTCAGGGACGGAAGGAGGCTTCAGGCCCGTGGCATCTTCTGAGTTTTGTACAAGTGAGTTGTAACTTATCGTAAAATAGAATTTAAATTAAAATGGAAGGAAGGAACCATCCTCAGAAAATTATGCCGACAAGGCCAGGCCGAGGGGGGCCTCCTGCACGAGTACCCTCTCAGGACCCTTTGTTACCTGTGGTCTCTCCAGGGTGTCACTGCCCACGACCCAGTGACCAGCCTCATGAAGATCAACCTCAACACTGGACCAACAGACCTCAGAAATGTGCCCCCCACCCCGGGTCCCCAGCAAGCACGGAGACTGATGCCCCCGAGTGTGCCGCCTCTGGGTGGGCATCGAAGGGGCTTTGGGGGGCTGGAGGAAGAGGGAGGGGACTCGGGGTTGGGTTGGGAGGGGTGGGTTTGTGTTACCAAGACCTGGGGACATGGAGTGGGAGCTACAAGCCCCGGAAAATGCTGAGTTGACAGTGGCAGGAAGACGCAGAAATGGGACGCGGTCCTACCCACAGTGATGGCGATGGGGATCGTGACCGTGACAATAATAGTGGCAGCAATGACAATGCGGAGGGAGGAGAGGGGGTTGCCAACCTCTACTGAGTGCCCACAGCCCTGCCAGCTCCACATCGAGGCTGTGCATGTCCCTATCGTCCCTCTCACCCCGTCTCCCTGCTCCACCCACAGCCCTGTGCAGCAAGATCGCCAGGTCCGCCTTGCAGAGGGTCCTCTGTCCTCTCTCACTGTCACCTCCCCTCCAGGACTAAGGGCTGGGGGGCCACACTCCCCGACTTCCGGAACCAAGCAGACGTAGGATGGGAGGAGGAGGAGGCCCTCCCGTCGGCGGGTGGCTCCCAAGGCCCCGAGGATCAGCCGCCCTGAGGTCCACAGGCTCCGCGGGGCAGCGCCGAGGGTGCACACGGGCTGCATAGGGGCAACGCCCTCCGGGGACCCGCAGGCTGGCGCGTGTGGCTTCTGCTGAGCACGAGATCTCTGCCCGTGCCTGCAGGCCTTGCTCCGCACCCACCCAGTACCCTCCTCCTTGTGCTGCTGCGGGGGACCGAGGTCGGGGGACGGCACCAGCTACATCATCACACACGCCTGGTCCCCACCTCAGCTGGCCTGGAAGGAACCCTCCAGGTGGCAGCTGCAGACACCTGCCTGCTGGGACTCCTGGGATCTTGCCTGCAGGGACAGGGTCTAAAAATAACCAGGGATGAGGGGACTATGGTACTCCCAGAAGCAGGGAGGCAGTGGCGCTAGTACTAGGAGATCTAGTGCGGGGTCAGTCCCACTGCTCAGCCCGGGTCCAAAGGCCCAGAACCAGGGAAGCCCACGGTGTAACTCCCTGTCCTGGCTGCAAGCCAGGAGCCTGGGACACGGGAGAGTCCCGGAGTCTAGAGCAGAGGAGGACCTGCAGTGCTGAGGCCCAAGGGCAGGCGGAGAGGGTGTCCCTGCTCTGGAAGAGTGTGAGAATTCACCCGCCACCACCTTTGGCTCTGTCTGGGCTCAGTGGACAGGACGGCACCCACCACGCTGAAGGCAGTTCCCGCCCTCTCAGCCCAACCCACCTGTGCCAGTCTCTCTGGAAACACTCTGCCCCAGCACCCGGAGCAAGCAGTCATGCTCCTCCAATGCCAAACCACCCCACAGCTCCTGATCAGCAGGAGGGGGACCCTGATGCCTGCGGAAGCCTGGAGGAAGCCTGGGAAGGAAGGACGCCTTACCAGCTTCCCAGGTATCCCTCGACCCAGCCCCAAATCAACCGTGCCCACCTTTCAGGGAACCTGCCTGTCAGTGCCAAGCTGGAAGAACCCAAGAACATGCTCCAGGAAGCCGGCAAAACTGCAGGAAGACTGAGAACCAAGGAGACACCAGAGCCGGTCAGCATGTCCCGCTCGGCTGCGTGTGTGCAGGGTGTTATGTTCAGCGTCCATCAGAAGGGGCCGGAACGGAACTGGATCAGTACTCAATCATCATGGCAGAAGGCCAATAATGCCTCCGTGTAGATTAAGATAAAGGCGCAAGTGGCGACTGCCCCCAGTTCAAAGCCCTGAATTGTGTCTTTATGCCATTGACCCCTAAGTGCAAGCCCCTAACCAAAACACTCTCCCGACTCCAGCTCACTGCACCCAGCTAGCAACAAAGGCAGCCCTGATTCCGCAGGGCTGGAACAGGCCCTGACCCCCCCACCACCACCACCCGCCTCCACATCCATCCATCAACGGATCCTGTTGGCTCGACCTTCAGTATTGATCCAGAATCCAGAATCCAAACATGGATTCCGCCGGTGTCACCTACTACAAAAATTAGGCAAGACATTCTAGGGAAAGAAAACTACAGACCAAATCCTCATGAACATAGGGTCTCAGTTTTAGCAAATCAAATTCAAC